CCTCCTCCTGTCAAATGAAATGCTGCTGTCTGGAGTCGCTGAGTGTTGTCACAGAGACTCTGTGTGTGTACACGTATGTGTGCGTTAGTGGAAGTAGACGGTAGATGGATGTTTAGGGGAATGGGATCCACCACAGTCCTGGCACGGAGCCGAATGTGGATTAAGAATGTGGCACTCGAGCTACTGTTCACATAAAGAGAGAAAATCTGAAATAAAAAAGGAGTAGTTAGGTAGGGAGGGGAAGATTTATAAAAGAGCTTTCTGCCAACTTCTTTGTATAACAGTTTGTTGCAATGTAATGTTTCACCACACCTTTCAAATTAACTCAGACTTTATGAATTCATTACACTTTATTCCACTGTGACGACCTGTGCTTGACAAACAAAACCATAAACGGCTTTTTTTAGCATGTCACATCAGAGATCAAAGTAATTTGGTGGCTAATATATGTATCCAATGTACAGGGTTTTTTCTTTGTACATGGATGGGGACGCACTAACTGTAGGATTACAGCCACTCTCAAAAACCAACAGAAAGTTTCATAGAAAGAAAAATTTTGTGTTCAGGTCGTAGTTTTCATTACTGAGAAAAGATCCATTAATTTCACAGTCTTGCTAATACCACCCGATGTTCTGAGTGGTGGCAGTGCAGGTTTACTTTTCATGCAGGATTCATGTGGCATTGCTTATTTCACATCTTGAATGGTGCTTCAGTATTTAGTGGAAGCATGTGCAGGTAACATGAGAAGTATAATGTTTTTATTTACACTGAAGGAGTTCCTGTAGAGTACTAAAGCTTAAGGAATGCCATTTACCATATTTGTGTCACATCCACTTGCATGAAAGCAGTAAAAACAACAGCAAAAGTGCTACAGCAGATCCATTGGGTGAGCAAATGTACACAAGACCGTGTCATGTAAACAGTTTTCTGTGTATGTATGGAGAGCCAGCGTCTTGGATGTGAGGGGCTGTGGTCTGGGAGAAAATTATTTTTAGCATCCAGCACCTCAGGTGTTGGTCTCTTGAGGGATCTGCCATGCTAAGTGGGTAAACATCTCAGGTTAACAAGGTGGGATTGAGAGCCATACCTGTGGTTTAGGATGTGGTCAGGACGGCTTCTGCTGAAAGGTCGACTGCCTGTGACAGAAATCTGTAAATGAAAGTACGTATGTGTTAACGGATGATGGAAACATAGGCGATAATGTTGGTGTTTGTGCTCTGAAGTGCCCAAAAAGATTGCTTTATTGAAAGGGACGCGCTTTTGGCTGATTCTCAAATGGGTTTTTCAATAGGGCTTTTATTTTATAGCTGTTATATTATGCTTTCCTTTAGTCTACCCCCTTCTCTTTTAATCCTATTGGCAGGCTCCACCTTGGCTCACCTCCAGGTGACCGATCCCTGAGGTTGCTTTAAGGACCAGGCGCATCCATAACCTCACCTGAAACCAAAAGGATTTTATATGAGGATAAAAGAATAATATAAGAAATTGACTTATGGATGCTCTGAACTGGATATGAAAGAATGCTGTCCTGATGCTCCCTTCCAATTTGCTAATCCACGCTGACATTTGATCATGTCAGTGTGGATTAGCAAAAGCAACACTCCTTGGAAAGGGTCGCTGGGTGCTCCTTACAAACATCCTCCTTTTTTTCTCCCCTTAGTACTGACCTGGATGTTATTACTAACTTGTTATTGAGTATTAATCTGAGTTTAAGTGGCTGTAGCACAAAAATATTTGATCTAACTTGTCAGTATTTGTCTGTGACTTAATAAAATGGCTTGTTGGAAACATCTCACAAGTGGAGGTAGTGTATCTGTTTGTGTTCATACTTCATACAAAATGATAAAAAGGGGTTGTGTTAAATTACCCCTACGGTCTAGAAGCACAGGCTAAAAAATCAGGCTTTTTTTTTTTTTTATCAGTGAGTTAAAGTTGAACTTAGTGTTTTTACCTGTCACCACCAGAGTCTGCAGCAGTGGGGAATAGCAAGGTTGTGTCCAAATAAGGACACGGGGACAGTGTGTGATAGAAGGAGATTACATGAAGATGTATGAGGAGGTGAGATGGAAAAGGGAGGTTGTGGCTTGCTGGTTGAAACAGTCTGAGAATCAAAGACACCACAGTACGCCACCACCTGAGCATTACTATTGGATTGCAACACTGTGTACTGACTTTATGACCACACTACTAAGCTGCATCATTTAGACAGTGGTCACTGTGTCAGCTGTGAGATAGTTATTTCCATCCCTTGTATGGACTGCCTCTGTACAGTTATCAATTGATCTGTCTCCCAGTGAGCGCTGTTAGATGTTGGCAGGTTAAAGGGAATGACTGTTGGGGCAAAGAAGTCTGCTGGGGAACTTTTGGGGTTGTTTTAAGAAAGAGCAAAAGCAGAGATATTTACATTTTGTGGTCCCTCTCAAAAATTGTAGCAAATAACAAAAATGTTTCTGTGATTCTATGCTTAATGCATCAGCCTTATAAGTAATCTTCCTGTGTGGTTAATAATGGATTAGAGAGGCTTCAGATGGATATTTTGATGAATAGATTGTGCTTGCTAATACCATTTAAGAAGTGTGAAGATACAGGGTAAGTTGTTTTTTCAGCCAAACATTTCTCACAGTATCAATTGAGGAATGACACAGATATTGAAAGCAAATGCATACTTTAAATGAGTTAAAGTATTCTAAACTTTTTCAACTCTGGAGGGTGACCAATGTATCAGCAGGCTGATATTATCTAATTGCCAGTCTGTTGGTATTTGTTTTTATAACAGTTGCTAAATGAAAAATAAAAATGAAATCAAGAGAGAAGAGAAACACCCTTCAACCATGTTATGAGTGTTAGCGTTGCATAGTTTGTCCACCAGAGGGCACTGCACCCTCCCTGTTTGTATTGCAAAACTCTGCCACAAACACAACAAGCAGCTAACCTGAACAGAGTCGAGTAACACAAAGGGTAAATCAATATCTACACATAATGAATTTTATGGAAATCTGTTCACGTGTTTGAAAAAATAAAATCAGTGGATATTTTGAAACATATTGGCCTTAAAAATCAGTCTATATGATGATAGGTGGACCAAGTTTTCACAGGCTTTGTTCGCCTTGTGCCGCGTGACTCCTTCAGTAGGAATAGGCTCTTCTGACCTTTTGTTCATGAAGCAATAATGATGTAGAACACGAATGCAGATTAGTAATCTATCAATGAGGAAATTTGTACAAGAAGCACATTTCCATTAGTGTGATATATCATTACTCTGCTGCTGAGCTCTGAAAGTAAGCCTCATTAGGTGAACCTCTGTCATCATGACTGAATGATAGACATTTTCTGGCTGCTGCGTGAGCTGCTGCTTCATTGTGAGCTGATGACAGACGAAGCTCTTTGTGTTTAGACCCTTCACCCGCGCAGAGGCTCTGTCATCCTGTGGGTTTGGACTGACAGGAATATAAGAGTAGTTATCTTTTTGACATACTCACAGGCTTGACTTGTTGGGGTTTTAAACAGATGGGTGCAGTGGGTGTAAAAGAGCTGCTATCACAAATCCCTTAACCACTTTTGCCTAATATGACCCCAGCACAACAACACAGTGTAACTCGGACACGACTCGAATCGTACAATTTTCTTGCCTTTACAAAGTAATATCTGAACTGGAAACAGATGCTTCAGCATTCTTGCTTTGTGTTTATTGCCAACCTGATGTTTTAGTAAAACAAGCAAACAAATAAAAACAGTATGATTTTTATTTTACTAATTGTAGCCTTAGACATCAGCAGCCCTCTTTAGCTAGTTCTTTGTATAAGATAATGTCGGAAACATGCAATCAAACCTTCGAGGATGAGGAGGAAGTTTTTCTTTTACGAAGCCTGCACAGCTGCAGAGGAACACGTGCATCCAAAGTACTCTTAACTGAAAACCTCTGTTTAGGACGCCCCCCTCCCCCCCTTTTTTTCTTTTTAATTGATCTGCTCTGAACGTGAGTCATGTGTAATGACATCCAGCTGGAGGTTGCTGCAGGGCAATGGAGAATGCACTCAAAGACTATTTAGAGATGCCTGTTCACCTTTCTTAGCAGCCCTTTCACTCTTAGATGGATGGGACCATTGAACATTTTTTTAAACAGTGTGTGTGGTCTTTGTAGACCGAAAAAGACACAGCTTTACCTGTGTGTGGGCGTGTTTTTAATCTTGTCTAGTGGGTTGGCCCTTGGTATTCACATAACAATACAAAAATGCTTTCTTTTTTTCTTTCCTAACTCTACTGCCATAACCCCCTCTGTTGTTCTTTTTTTAGATTGTCCTTTCAAAAATGAGGACAGCCTTTGATCCTCAGTCATTATGTGACCGTCCCTATAGTCGTGACCCTGTGTGCTATTGTCCAGAACCTTTCTTGGGCAATGCTTGGTACTAATGTGTGTCATTGGGTAGCTTGCTATCTGTGCATCTGGCTGCAGGAACAGCTGTTTGTCCTGGGTGGTTTTGGCATGTGACTGTGCGGTCCAGGGTCAAACCTCGTGTCACATTGTTCTGACCTAGTGTACTTCTGTGGTGGCCTGGTTACAGCTTGGACGACCGGCTTGAGAGTGTGCTAATTGCATGGTTGTGGTCTAAGGGAGGCAGCGGTAGATTTAACATAGCAGGGAAAGAGATGGAAGGATGGGTTTTGGTGCAGCTGAAACCAGTGATCATGGGTGATCTATAAATGGGCATGTCTCTGTTTAGCGCCTAAATGGATAACAGAAATCTTCACTGAACCACAACAGTGGAGTCTCCTGCTGAGTAACTAGTGCTTCTAAGTCAGCAAAGGACAGAAAATAGATTGAGTGTGCCATAATTAAGGCTTGCTTAATATGCAGAAGTTTGGAGTTGCACAAACTCTGCAGTGGCATTGTTTTAGCAATGCGCTGGCCTTCATAGAGACTAGCCAAATGCTCCGAAGTTAAGTTTGTTGAATATGGATCTAATGTCCTTTTTGTGTGTTTCTCTCTCTCTTCTCTGCAGTGGAACCAGCAGACCTCTTGAAGATTTTAGATTTTCACAGTTTACCCGAAGGTGTTACGAAAACAACGGGATTGTGCTCACATAGAAGGTCATCACAAGGACCCGATGTGGCTTACAGAGTATCCAAAGATGCCCAGCTCAGTGCCCCCACCAAACAGCTGTACCCAGGTGAGTATATGACTCAAGGAACTTTTCATGCTGCACATGTTCAACTAAGAAGTAATTTAAGAACTTGCAATGAAGAATTTCTCCTCTTTCAAACATGAAACACATAACACTACAATAACGCCAAATCACATCAGCAATCACCTCAAGGTGCTCTATATCGTAACGCAAACACCGTACAATTATAGAGAGAAAACCCCTACAATCAGACAACCCCTTATGAGCAAACACTCGGTGACAGTGAGAAGGAAAAACTCCTTTTTAGCGGGAAGAAACCTTTTTCTGCTTAAAGACATTTTCCCAGGTTTTAAAGTTAAAGTCTTACCATCTGTTTGGCTTTCATGACCTTTAATCCTACTTCACATTAAACTCCAAATATAACGTCTTAACTTGGCTGGATAGCATTTTGCATTTGCTCCCGTCTAGCCTGTTCCTTTCTCCCCCTCCAGGTTCGCAGTTTTGTCCGTTAGCATAAGCTGATAATTTATCTCGACTCTACCTTTAACTTTTAGGTTTTAAAATGGCTGTGCCTGCTGTTTAATCTTTAAGTCCCCTGCAAACATGTTGACATCTTGCTAATGCATGTCCAAGTGCATCTGTATTTTTTACTGAAACAAATTGCCTACCACGTGTGGACACTTTTTGCAAATGTTGGTAAAAGAACGATAATGAAAGTGCACATCAGATGCATTGCCCTGTAATATTTAACGTCGCAGCAGGAGGAGCTGGGTGATGAAAAAGCAGCGAAAATATGGTTGGTGGATGGGAGGGAAGCCTGGGGTTCCACTTTTCTGTGTTCTATCATGCTGACGTGGCTTTGAGTTACTGCTATATACTGTGCTGCAGTGCTTCTTTCCTTTCTCCCCTCCCTCTCCAGCACTCTTTCCTTGCTCTTCTCCCTCCTTCTCTCATTTTTTCCCTCAAGCGTCATCGCTTCTCCCTCTATCATTTCTCCTAGACTGCTTCTGCCTCGCAGTGTTTTCTTCCTTTGTCTTTGCTGTATATTTTTTTTTCCCATAAAACATAAATGAAAAAACCCACAGTTTCATGATCCAGACAACCAATTTCTGAAAATGATTGTGATTGTTGCCTTTCCTTTGGCTTACAGATATAAAAAGCCGGTGAGGTCTAGATATAGCAACAAGAGAGAAATAATATCCCTTCCTGTGCGCTAAGCTTCCACAAAGTTTAGATTGGATGGCAACTCCATTCGCGGTCTTCTAAGATGCTACATTGGCCTTGGTGGATCTTTGATCCGTGGCATAACTCTTCCTAGGGGCTTAATGTAGAGCTGCAAGGCTCCTGTGGGCTGCATGCCCTTACATGCCCTCCAATCAAACAAATACTGTTCACTTTGATGCTTTATGACAGCATGTCCCCATATGAGTCTCTGTTTAGACACACATGCTGTAATTACACACATGCTACGCTGGATCATCCAAAATAACAGTCTATATAAAACAAACCAACTGGAGGAATTCACAACAGGCACCGCACAGTCTTAAGGTGCAAACAGACTAACTAGCTGTCTTTGGCTTGAAGGCTTTAAAATTCACTCGCAGTGTTTGTGATGTGGCCCTCTCTTGCCTTTATGGTACAAGAACATAGAGCTAATATATTCCAGAAGGCAGTTGAGGTCATTTTATCCGGTTCTTTTTCCCCTCTTTAACTAAGTTTGCTACTTTAGTCTGGAGGTACAGTTTGAGTTATGACTTCAGTCTGGAGGTACAGTTTGCTTTAATTATTGAAAAGGTACAAAAAAGTCACACATAGAAAATAAAGGCATACAAATACAATTGTTTTGCTTTACAATAATGGTATTGAAACAAAAGCACAGTAGCACCGGCTAAGATCACACCGCCTTGTGACCCCATAGCCACAGACAGCTTGTGATGATGTGTTGGAAAAGAGCAAGTGCAGACATGCACTCATTAGGCAAACATGTGGAAGAGATGATTCATTTGAAACTTCTGAGGCACTCTGAACAGAAGAGACCTTTCTTACCTTTATTAAGTGAAGGAGCTGGGAAGAAACTGGGCAATAAAACTGCCTCTCTCTTAAACTACAACCCATCAAGAACAAATAAGCATCTGAGAATTCATTGCAATGGAAATTGCAGTAAATCCCAATCTGGGCATTTTAATTTTGTCCATTTGGAACATTTTTTTCTTTACCTTCTGCGTATGTTGTGCGCCATCATAAACAATAGCCATCAAACACCAAAGGAAGAAAGACTCAGCAAATCCTAGGTTCTCTGAATGGGGTTAGCTGTAACTTAGCCTGCAAACCTGTGGTCACAACTGCTTTAGCTAGACGGCACCGACCACAGATGGCCAGGGGCTTCTGCTACAGCTTAACTCACAAGCTGTAAAAGCAATCACGGTTCTGTTGTGTGCCAGCATCCCTCAAGAGTGATATGTTGCATTCAGTGCCACATGCTACATATATAGTGGCATTTAATTTCAAGCAAAACTAGGTTGTAATCGTGTTTACTACTATTTATTTGGAAGATTTTGTAGAATTCATGGATGGACAATTAATTCTCCATGAGAAACAGGGAGTCTGCTGTGGAGAGCTGCACAAATAAGCCTATAAAGAGTTTATAGAATAACTCCAAGCTCATTGGTGTGGCCGTCCACAACAGTCATAGTTTCTCATGTGGGCCCTTGGGAAAATTGCCTATCTCAGACTTAGATGTACAACATGATCTTTGAGGGCAAGCTCAATGACTCCAGAGTAAGACAGTAATAACATGTCATATCACAGCTAAAATGTTTCTTTTATTATTAGTGTTTTCTTAAGTTGTACAGTGGGAGCTGTTTACATTAGAGCCACTTACTGTTATGTTAAGTCACTTCACTGTTTCTTCCTATTGCTAGGTGCACTCCTTTGCAAACAGACAGCTCTGCAAGGCAGTTGTTGTCTCTGCAGCAATATGCAGTCCCACAGGAATGCAGCTTGTCTCATACAGAAGAAGAGAGTTGGACACAGTGATGACTGAATGACCAATTACAGGACACAAAGCTTTCTACCCCATTACCTGCGTGTATGCACTCTAACAGATGGCAGACATCATCAGAGAAAGTGCCGCCATAACCGGGTCCCATGCTGACGTTTTGTGCATTCTCTGAGGCTCTGTAAGTTTTGTTGAGGAAGAATACTCAGGCGTACACGTCACATACCTGTAGCATGATATCACAGGACAAGACATTCCCTCTGCCCTTTCCAACGTGACGAATAAAAGATAGCTACAAACTCTTCAGCAAAATCTGGAGTAAAATGCTGGACTTAGTCTGGCTAGCTGGAGGCGTCTTTGAGTTTCCCGTGACCTTTTTTGGCCTGACACTGGTGGCTGAGATGCCAGAGTAAACTCTCGGGACTGTTGGCACCCCAGCCTTTCCATTCCTACCATGTTGGCACAGACGCACACTGACAACACGAACACACACGAGGTATGAGGTATCTCTCATCTGGTGGCCTGGAGCAGCAGGTTGAGAAACACATTCTGGTGGGGGGGTGGGGGGTTAGATTGTCTCATGCTGGGGTTGGGTCGTTATAGTCCCAGCAGGGCAGATACAGTAGGACGATGCTTTGCAATTTGCTGCTTACACTCCACAGAACACCCACTCATTTTCCCGTGTGCTCTGGTTTCCCTTTCACCCCTTAGCTGACCCTTCACTTCTGAACAAACAGCCTTCACCAAACCACTGCTGAATCACTGCCTGAGTGTCTGACGTGGCTATTGTGCAAGACAGATGCAGCACTAAATTTCCTTAATTGTGTTTCTTTGTTCTGGTATTTCCCACTTGCATTGTTTATATCATAGTGCTTTAATTTCATGTTCACTATGCAATCAGCCAAAGATTTGTGGATCTGTCTTCCTTACAAAACGCAAACATCTCAGGAGCTTTTTTTTGAAGAGCTGCCTTCCTGTTGCTTGTCTGTGTTCTGTCTCTCCTTTTTCTCTGCTTTACACCGTCCCACTGAAGCATCTGTCAATTAAAGCAATGTTTTTCATATGATGCCAAGCAGAATTCCTGAGGGAGCTCACTGCCAAGGCATGTGCTCTCCGCATGATGCGATCTGATGCCTAGCGTTTAATGAAGGAATGATAGAAAAAGGCAGGAAGACAAGACAGGAAGGCAAACAGACGTCCAGATGCTGACAAGGCTGAAGGCCGATGGAAAAAAAAGAAGAAAGCGAACGAGTGGCGGTAGCAAAATTCAGAATCGGTTGACTACCAAGTAGAAATGACATACATATACGAGTATTTGCTGAAACAAATATTCTGAGCTAAGGTGGCGGTGTGGATCTGAAGGACACTACAAGGCAGACTGCTTCGTCCTTAAATAAGCTATTCATTTTCGTGTTTGCTGTGCGCTCATGTGACCACCAGAGGTCGCCTGCGTAAACAGCGACTTCTTAAAACCCATGAAAACTGCTTTGCAGTTGAAGGTTAGACTAAAAAATTGTCTTCTCGTCTCTTCTCTTCTCTTCTCGTCTCTTCTCTTCTCTTCTCTTCTCGTCTCTTCTCTTCTCTTCTCTTCTCTTCTCGTCTCTTCTCTCTTCTCTTCTCTCTCTTCTCTTCTCTTCTCTTCTCTTCTCTTCTCTTCTCTTCTCTTCTCTTGTCTTCTCTTCTCTTCTCTTCTCGTCTCTTCTCTTCTCTTCTCTTCTCGTCTCTTCTCTTCTCTTCTCTTCTCTTCTCTTCTCTTCTCTTCTCTTCTCTTCTCTTCTCTTCTCTTCTCTTCTCTTCTCTTCTCTTCTCTTCTCTAACCCGACTGAGGTCCTCTTTTTTTCCTCCACATTGTCTGATTGGCTAGTATTACCAAAGTTTCCCCAGTTTAGTTTAGCAGTGTCTTCATATTCTGAATATGGTGGCTGGGTAAGGGGCTTTACCAGCGTAGCCGCTGTAGCCACAAACCCTGCCTTTCTTTTCCGGTTGTCTGGAAATCTCTGCTCCACACATGCTAAAGACTGGAGATTACAACTGGAATTCAAGTGGTTTCTTTGCTTATGTTCAGTATAATCCAGATAACAGTGGTGGCTTTAATACACTCTGGTTGCCTCCTGTTCTGAAAGGTCATCTGTGTTCCCAAATGTAGTCAGACCTTAGCACTATCTGGGAAGCAACAGTCTGCACAGACAGTTGGCAAGCTTCCTCCTTTTTGGAGGTCCTAAGAACACCCCACTACAGGAATTTGTCTGGCAGATGTTTTCCACACTGAAGCAAAATGCAGGAACTTGTGAGGCTTCTCAAAGGAGCCGAGCAGACGGAGGCCAACACATCCTCTTTATATATTTTTCTGCGTTTAAATACCACTATACTGCTGGTATTTCCATTTCCAGGCAATGTGTCTTTCATTATTTCTGCTGTAAAAATGTGTTGCTCCTCTCCAGCCCTTCATTGGTGTCTCGGCGTCTGCTAGACCCATCAGCTGTGGCAGAGGAGAGAAGCGGAGAGGAGGAGTTTGAAGGATAGTTTGACGAAGTCTCTGGGGATCACATGCTTTTGTCATTAATGCTTTTCACTCTGCGCTGCGCTGGAATCGATCCACTTTTTTTCCTCCCGCTAACTTTCATTTTACCGGCCAACCCGTTCAGATGAATCCTATCCGGTTATATTTTGGGCACTCAAAAATTTCTGGTGTTTCCGTTTGGTGCGCAAAACCAAATCTTTGATTCCACCAATATAAATGATATTTGTTAGTTTTTGTTCGATTTCCATTAGAAGCATCAGTAAAAAATAACCACACTCCCTTTAGACATCAAAGAACGCAGTCAGTCTCCTAAAATAACACAACGACTACAACCTTGCAAAAGCAAACCTCATACTTCATTCCTCTTACGATGATGAATGGTTACGGCTGCTTATAAGTCTCCAAAAAAAATAAATGTTTTTCTCTTTCTATCAAACCCACCATTTGTCCTGCCAGGTGATGTCTTCCCTGAGGACTTTTCCATCATGGCCACAGTGAAGCCTAAGAAGGGCAGCCAGTCCTTCCTGTTGTCTCTGTACAATGAACAGGGCATCCAGCAGCTTGGTCTAGAAGTGGGCCGCTCTCCAGTCTTCCTGTATGAGGACCACACAGGCAGACCCAGCCCTGAGGACTACCCCCTCTTCAGAGGAGTCAACCTAGCCGACGGAAAGTAAGTGCAGTCTTTCACCTCACTTGTACAAAACGCTTAAAAAACGTGTCAGGCTCTACTTTTAAAACAATTTTAAATCATTCTATTAGAGTGGACCCTCGCGATGATGGTAGGCTTTGACAGCAGTTTTGTTTAATTTTAGAAGTTTGGAAGCAACTTTTTGTCACTCTCAACCTTAAGTGTCATTAACTGCGTAACCTCACTACGCTACTAACAACTAGGATTTGAGATTGTATTTCACTTTGGAAGACAGAGATGGATAGATTCGAATTCAAATGGACAAACACAAAAAGAGGCCTGTAATCCAGTAAGTGTGTGAATTGATTGTACCTCCCGTTCCAGGTGGCATCGAGTGGCCATCAGCGTGCACAAGCAGACCATCACCCTCATTCTGGACTGTAAAAAGAAGACCACACAGAAGTTACTCCGAAGTCCCCAACCAGTCATTGATACCAAAGGAATTATAGTGTTTGGAACAAGAATACTTGATGAAGAAGTCTTTGAGGTAGGCGTTAAACTCTAACTTTTAATCCGAGCTTTGTACATAGTATAATTTGGCAAATTTGATGGGTCATTTGGGACTGTTTGCTTCATGGACTGCTGGCTTGCCATTTATTCCAGGTTCAAATTAGCTTCAGCTTTTGCTGTTTTCATGTTGAAAGGCTGTATGAAAATGAAAAAACAAAACAAACAAACAGTGCCTTCAAACAGATGATTTAGGCCCATTTCTATATAATCAGACTCGTCCTTTTTAATTACAGCACAGACACATGTGGCTGTGGTGCCAATGGTGGTCATCCCCAGTCCCCAATTCTTTTGAAATACTGCTTGAAATTGGGGACTGCGGGAGAGGCCGCATCCTCTATAGAGATATTTGGCTTGCCCTAGTCCACCAGAATCTGATCCTCCTGCCACCCACTCTTTCACACGCACACAATCGTAAATCAGACTTAATTTAAGGTACCACATATCCCACATCGTCCGCAAAAGAACTTTGTGTCCTGCAGTTCCCTTCTGCTGCCAGCTGTGCTAGATTTGCTTGCTGCTCAGTTCATCCTCTTTTGCTGTTTTAAAGTGTTGCCTTATTGTAGCTAAATCTATAATCAAGCTGTTATAGTTCTCTTTGCGGCTTCACGTCTGGATTCTTTGTTTAAAAGGGCTATGACACTTCGCTTTACAGAGGTTTTCCCACAGGCAGCTACTTGTTTCAGTTATTAGAATAAGAGCTTTATTCCTTCCACCCCTTCTCTTCCGTTTATGCTTAATAAAGATAGGGAGTCAAAAGATCTATGATAATCTGACTGGTGAGAAGAAGCTTTTTGTGCTTTATAATACCTGCAAGTCCCTGATATGGCTCAAAAAGTGTTTGTGCACTATGAATTCATTTGGACAGTTCCTGTAAGAGAGCTTTTGTTGGGTTCCTGTAACAAGTTTTTGTCTGAATATGTGTGTCTCTTAAACCTGACCCCTGTGTTTGTGAGGAACACAGACACACACACAGACACACCAAAATATTCTGAGAGGCACAAAGAATAGTGTTGTCTTTGTCCCTTTGGAGTTGTGCTTGTTTAAAAGAGGGGATTAGTCTGCGAGGCCAAAGCCCTCAATAATAATTAGTAACAGAGGCTGACTGATGTGACTGATCCTTAGCCAGCTGACCTTTAACCTTACTGTTACTCAGCCATATCAGATGAAGAGAAAGAAATATGACATCACTTCCCTAGCCACTGTCGCTAAAGTTTCCCTGAAAGACATGGACAAAAGTATAGCCTTGTAAACAAAATCAAGTTTCTAAGTAAGAGACTTATCTGCAAAATGAACTCTACATATGAAGCTTTTTATCCAATGTTGTGGGGAAAATGTGGTTCATGAGGGAAAAAGGGAAGGGTGCCAATTTTACTGGAGCACAAATAAAGATATCGTGTCATCTGTTTATATGTCTGCATTCTGTGTTACAGCCATTATTTCCCCTCTTCAGCCTATTAGCTCAGAGCTGCCAAAAAGATGACGGCATTTATCCGTTTGTAACTCTGCTCTACTTCTATTATTTGCCCCTAGCATACAAATCAGGAGATCGGGGTGATAGTGGAACAATTAAATCTTAGCCAGCAATTTTAGCGGCGGTAACAGTTCAGTAGTTACCGTGGGAACGGACAGATATTTTGTGGGAGATGTTTAAAGCCCCCCCTGCTGTGCGTCTGCCAGTTAGGAGACAGGACAGGCTCCAGTGCTGCAGAAAATGGAAATTATGCCACATAGTTTCCAAATTATGCTCAGGTTGCACTCCTTTTCCTCTCATTACTCTCTTTGTAGTTTAGTCTGATCCCGTGTTGACTTTTGCCAGAGCTGGTTACCCCCGAGAGCTGGTAAGTGTGAAAACACAAAATAACATATGTGATTTCACTGTCGGACCTTTTACATTAGAGTCTGGGGATTTCCAGGTCAATTTCTTCAGAAAACTGCAAACCTTTATTTTTATTTTTTGCACGATACTTAAAAAGAAAACATAATTGCTGGTAATTGCTGATTTATAAGAGATTTTAAAAATGACATACTTAATGGGTCCTAAAGGGAAAGTACAACCCCGAATCACATTTACATATTTTCCTTCTTGCCTGTATTGCCTCTTAATCCATTTCACTTGTTTTGGAGAGAAAAACATGAAGTGAAAAGATTAGGATTTATCACACTGTTAAATCAGAGTGATTGGTGATTGGTGCTATACTTCTTTTTTTAGTGGAGCCTTTCCTTTGCATACAGTAGTAAGAAGAAAAGCAGTACTTATATGCTTAGGTGGTTTGTGGTTTGGTTTCTGACAAGGTTTTTGTGGTCACAAAGAGACTGTCTTTCCTTTTGCACCACTCTATTTTAGTTGCTTGGTTAAGGGTGCTATGTTTGTATGGAAGCCCGTTTCCGCCACTAAATAAAAAAAAAAAAAGCTAGTATCCATAACTCGAAATTTCGAGTTATTTTCTCGAAATTTCAACTTATTAACTCGAAATTTCAAGTTAAATTTCGAGTTAGCTTTGCCAATCAAAAATATACACCTGGAAGCATATGGTGCAGAGGAACGCGCACTCAAAAACGGATCCCAACAAATTGGCGCTTTCGCGAGTACGTTTGCTGATAGTAACACCATGTGATTCAGCTAATAACACAGGGATTTCATCATTTGTGAAGCCAGGCTGAAAACACTCAGCAATCTGTGCATTCACGACTGGATGTAATACCGGTAGCTTAGCTGTAGCATTTGTAGCTGAGGGCTTCAGCTTCCGGGTAACAAGGAAATGACGTCATTCATGTAGATTACGGATTGGCAGCGCAAACTCGAAATTGCGAGTTGCTTTTCTCAAAATTTTGAGTTAATATGTCGAAATTTCGAGAAAGTAACTCGGAATTTCGAGAAAATAACTCGAAATTTTTTTTAGTGGCGGAAACGGGCTTCCATAGTGTTTGTGCTTGTGCCAATAAAAAGTGTGAAGGGAATTAAAAAGATTTTTAGGTGTGCAAGTAAGCAAACTTTTTTTGGAACCAGGTACAGTAATCGGTGCTGTTGCAAACTAATTGTAATCTTTTGTTTTTTCCCTTTTTCTCTATGATTGTTGTTTGAATGCTATCAATTGCCGCCATTATTCAGTATAAGCTGCTTTATATCATAGGTTAAAGACCCTACAATATTAATGGGAAAACCCTAACAATCACATGACCCTCCTATGAGCAAGCACTTGGCAACAGTGAGAAGGAAAAACTCTCTTTTAACAGGAAGAAACCTCCTGGAGAACCAGGCTCAGGGAGGGCCGGCCATGTGTGAAATATCTTCTTGAAGTTTTCACTTGTTTTGAGATGATGACCATGGATCAGTAGAGCTACTCCTCATACACTGAAATGCGGAAGTGCAAGCATAAAGTTATGTGTGTGTTTAAAGCAGATTTAATGTAAAATGAATGTAATAAAAATGACTACACTCATTTTATCCATTAATTTGAAAGCAAGTCAAAGATCGCCTTGATTGTTGAAATTTTGGTTATGCTGACCAGTGTCACCCCTGAGATCATCATTTTGTGGTTTAAATCTGCTTAAGAGTGCTTTCCACAGCTATGGTCTTCTCATTAGGATTAACAGTTCTTTGATTCAATGAACAAACTCCCTGAAACAGCAAATGAGAGTGTAGCCTGTGTAGCATTTAGCTTGGTTGACATAGCTAGCTAACATGAGGTCTTTTAGAAAGTTGTTTACTCTCATACCCTTACATTCTCTTCCTCATATTTTTTAATTTCGATTAAACCTTCACTTATTTTCTGTTATATGTTTAGCTCCGGAAAATATTCACACAAGAGTTAAAGCAAGGTGCCGTTTTATGTTTGGGAATGCAACCTGGAATGCTGACCCCTGCTGGTCTTTGCAAAATCTACACAAAAGTGGTAGACTGGTCATTCTAAGAGAATAAGCGTGTCATCAACCAACATTAGATTAAGGTGTTTTGAAAACTATCAAATTAACATTAGCATAACAAAAATGCAATATAAAGAGTAGCTAAATCACCTTAAAGGGTACTTCTCTGACAGATATACCTGTGGGTACAGATTAGATATTATTGTTTCTCTGTTTGGATGTATTTCTAGTGTCTCTTTATCTCTGCATGAAAGACTCCAGATTCTAAATGTACCCCTGATTTCCTTGTTCAATGTTGTTTCAAACTGAGTTTGCCAAGAACAATCAGAGATAATTTAATACCCATCCCTTAGTTGTAAGTAGCATTCAGTGAAATGGCGACCTGTGGTTGGTCTGAGGTAACCTAAGTGGGGACAGATGAACCACTTGGCCCCACTCAGAGTTAATCCACAGGGGAAAGCGGTTGAATTGAAGCAACTGAGGTGGAGATGTGCAAACACAGCACTTCTTGTCTGGCCAAAAGCACAGACAGCAACTTCCATGAATGTGGACAATGATATGGTGGAGTCTTTATCACAGAAAGATATATTCGGCCTGTTCGACAGTTATAGGGGAAGACATCAGAGGGAAGTTTTGAGTGTACAGAAAACAAAATAATGTTCTGAAATGAGAAGGGCTGGAGGAGAGTGGGGAGGTCAGAACAGGAGGTGTGGGTACAGGAGCCAAAAATGTTGGGTCATTCGCTGGAAAGAATGAGGAGTTCTCTCCCCAGCTGATGTCAGTCTTGGAACAGGAGCCGCACCACATGACATCATCCAGAGGTTTCCTTGGTATCCGCTGATAGGCTGTCCCAAGAGCGAATGGGAGGGTGAGTGATAAGTTTGGTAGGATAGGTAACAAAACAGAAGATGATTACGCTTTAGATATACAGAAATAAAGGATTAATGATGAAATGAATAGGGAGGGTTAAAAGTAATAGGGTAAGACTAAGGGAGCAGGGGAATGGGTCTGGAAGCCTTCAGTCGGAGTGGAAAGAAGCAAGTTGCGGGGCCCCTGTAGAGCAGATAGAGCCAGGAAAAACTAATAAAAAAATGCAACACATGAGCTTGATGC